TCTCACGAAAACATGTTCACGTCATGTTTCACCCTTACATCAAAAAATGACATTATGATATTATTTCCCTGATAATTTAACACATTTTACTCTAAAAGTATCCTTCTTACTTTAATAATACTTTACCTTATGTAAAAAAAAAATTATTTACATAATTTTAAATATATAATTTAATTTATATTACAATACACATTTTACTAAATTGCTATTAAGTTACTTTTTTTTAAACTTTTTTCTTATTTTAATTATTTTTTTTTTTTTACTTTTTTTAAATGTCTATAGTTTATTTACATTTTAGTTTTAAGTTTTAATTTGTTTTATTATTGAATAATTATTTAATTCTTTAAAGTATTTAATTTATTTTTATTTTAGTACTTCAAGTTAAACTAAACAAAAATGAAAACTGTTGCTTTAGCACATTTAAATTTTTTTTGTATATATATTACAGTTTATTTCAATTAACATTTATTTAAATAATTATTTTTTTAATGGATTGTTTTTAGTTAACAGTAATGACCCTGGGATGGGTTTCATTAAAATGATCTATAATTATCTATTTTTAACACATTTTGATTTAATGACTCAAATTTTTTCAAGTCACGTTTTTAAAATATAAATATTATTTTAAAACAAAACATTTCTTTCAATAATTTCAGCTTTTTAGCGAGACTCACATTTTACCCTATAACCAAAAAATGAAAGACTCAAGACGACTTTTTGCAAATTATTATTTTAATGATGATTAAACACATTTTAATTTATATTAATATTAAAATGCACTTCTTATACTTTTATGAATCTGGCAATTTACTTATAAAATATATAATTTAGATAATTTAAAATATATAATTTATATAACATTATAAATTGTATTAAGTTACAGTTAAATTACTAATTTACTATTCAATTTTTTTAATAAATCAAATGAATTATTGATGATAATTTGATTCTTGATGATTCTTTCATGATTCTTTCTCTCAGTTCACAGTATTCTCAGTGCCAATTCATCATTGTCATTACTGCAATTTTACAACATTACATGAGAAATACTGTAATACAGTAACTTTCTAAATTTAATTCAAGTACATTCATGACATTATTATTTTTTTTAATTGCACAATTTCAACAATATTACAATAATTGGAATTTGGGTCTAAAATATGTTCAATTTTTAATGAAAATAGTCACAATGCAAAAAAAAAAAAAAATCCTATAACAGGCTTATTTTATTTTAATATTTTTTATTTTATTTTGTTTTGTTTTGTTTTGTTTTGAAGTGTGACGTGGACAGGTTTCCTTAAATTGATGCTTGGTGTAATCGAGTGCATTGGACCGTTTGCGACTGCGGAGAGCTCGAGTGGAGACGAGATTACGCGGGGTTTTGTTCAGAAGAAACACCTGAGAACCAGTAAACGTGTTTTTCATTCCTCTGGGCACCAGCTGTTTGAATAAAAAGAGATGCATGTGTTTATGTGTGTTAGTTTTAGTGAGCTGTGCATGTGATCAGTGTGTGTTCGTTCCCATGACTGTGGTGTTGCTGCAGATCTAATCTGAACTCAGAGCCCTCGTCATCCTGACAGCGACATGCTCCCAGATCAAGGGAATCCCAGCACCAAACCAAACCAAAACACAAGCTGTTTGGTCACAAAATGTAGTTGATCATGTAAAATCTGGCGTCTCCTTTTCACATCAGCGAGCAGAAGATGTTGCATGCTGTCAAAATAAAAGAGCAGACGTGAGAGACGCAGTCATTACACTCGAACCCCGACTGCGACGCCCGAAATAAATTCACACAATTCAATCGCGCTTATTCTGAGCCAGATCCTCCGCTCCTGGCCGTGTGCATCGCGAAGATGAGTGGAAAAGCAGATTCATGCTCAGAAATGTCATGCAAACATCAGAACGCTGAGAGAGAAATGTTGTGATGGATGTTAATATTGGCGGCTGGGACGGCTGTGCTTGAGCCGCTCTCCGGCGCGGTAACGTAAACAGCAATTGTGTTTGTAGCACCAGATGAAAACGAGCGAGAGCGGTTTCGACTCGAGGAGAACAAGCGCTGGCTAACGGTGATGATGTTCTCCAGCAGTGTGCAGTGACTGATTGATTGGCGTTGATTATGCAGGAGTTCCATTGATTGACAGAATTAATTATTCTTCACACCGACTGAATGAATGAATGAATGAGAATCTCAGTGTGAGTGGAGCTTCTGCTATCTATCTATCTATCTATCTATCTATCTGTGATTCTGTCCTTTTATCATCCATCCATCCATCCAACATCCCTCATTCTGTCCATTCATCATCCATCCATAATTGTCCTTTCATCATCCATCCATCATTCTGTCTTTTCATCCATCCATCCATCCATCATTCTGTCTTTTCATCATCCATCCATCATTCTGTCTTTTCATCCATCCATCCAACATCCCTCATTCTGTCCATTCATCATCATCCATAATTGTCTTTTCATCATCCATCCATCATTCTGTCTTTTCATCCATCCATCCATCCATCATTCTGTCTTTTCATCATCCATCCATCATTCTGTCCTTACATCATCCATCCATCCATCCATCCATCCATCCATCCATCCATCCATCATTCTGTCTTTTCATCCATCCATCCATCCATCCATCCATCCATCTGTCTTTTCATCCATCCATCCATCCATCCATCATTCTGTTTTCATCATCCATCCATCATTCTGCCTTTCCATCCATCCATCCATCAAATCTCAAATCTTTCATGACTGTCAAGTCAACATTCCTAGACTGTCTTGTCTAACTTTTAATATTTATTTATTATTTTTTTTATTTTTTTTTTAGCTTTTTTTCATTTCAGTTAATTCAAACTCTACTTTGTTACATTCAAATTCAAATCGTAATTCTGCATCCTGTTTGCCACCTAGGTTCAAATTCAGGAATTGAATTTAAAGTGTTCTCAATTCAGTTATCAATTATGCACAATCCTACCATATATGCATCATTTACCAATAACAAAATTATTATTATTATTCACAATATTTACTCGGTCCACTAAAATAATGCATTAACTCAATAAGAATGATGATTTTCCACGTTTGCACCATATTGGCGCTTGGTATTTCACATGGCCTGCTGATATATGTTGGTGTGTGACTGGTTTTGAGGTTGTAAACATCCCGGATGTGTCCTCTCCTCTCTGCAGAAGACTGTCTCCTGGAGAAACCCTACACAGACTGCGGCTACAGTCAAGGCAAAGACGACGACTTCGACTGGGAGCAGATCAACACCAAGCAGAAACCCTCCTCAGAGCCCTGGCTGCCGTCAGGTCAGTGAGTCCTGGTGCTTTAGAGCTGGATGTCATGATTAGTGGTCGACCGATATATCGCCAAGGCAGATATATCGGCCGATATTTGGCATTTTTCAAATATCGGCATTGGCCGATAAGTTTTTCTGTTTGGCCGATGCGTTCCAGGCTTTTATTTTGACGGCGCACCGGACTTTTATTTTGACGGCGCTGAGAGCGCCATTCTTCTCCCTCTTGTTCGCCGTCGTCATTAACAGTTCTGTCTAATACGGATAGAAGTCTGTCTAATAATCAGATAGAACTGTTAAACAAAGGAATTAAAATGTATACAAAAAGTATTATAACGATTGCTTTTATATTATTAGTAATAGAAAGGCAAACATTATAATACTTTCTCGTTTGCCGTCAGCATTCAGCAAATACGCATTTACATCATTTAAACAAATCTTTGAATGGCTAA